TTGGGTGTCCTGGTAATGGCGGGTTCCGTCTGTGGACCTACTCACCTGAGAGTGTAAAGCTTCTTCCAACTCTCCACGAGGGAGTAATATCTGGAAGGTAGAAGGGAAAGAGAGACGGCACATTATCTGTTACACGCATCCCATCAGTAAACTAAGGAACCCTGATCCCTAGGGCAGTTCTGGGAATAAGAGATACCACTCCTTGTCCAGCTGTAGTTTAAAATCCTTCATTTTGGGACATTCAAAATTTCGAGCTGGTAAAATGTTCCATGAAGGGACTACTCTGTTTGCAAAGAAGTGATGTCTAATTGCTAGCCTGCATCTGGTTCTCTCCACTGTGTAACAGTGCCCTCGGAGGATGTTGTTGGCCTTCAGGGAACACGGATAAGAAAACTGATGGCACTGGACCGCAATAGCTCGAACTCGCAAAAACCCACAGGTTGGACACTGGTTTCTTCACGGTGTGCATAGAATGCTGCGAACTTCCGCTTCAGGTCGGGACGTCATCCTTTTGATAGAGCCGTTATGATTTCTGCATAGTATCTTTTGGTATATCGGCGCAACTCCTCTCGGGATACCGGGGCAGCAGTAGCAATGAAATGACACCTCTTAGCCTCCGACAATTTGGACCACCGCGAGAGAAAATCGGCCTGGGGAATTGCTTTGCCCGGACGGTGCACTATTTCGTAGTCGTACGCAGTCAATGCAATGCTCCATCGCTGAATCATCGCCGCCGTCGATTTGGAGATCGACTTTTGTGGACTGAATAGATATTGCAACGCTTAATGATGGGTTACGATGGTGAAACGCAATCCAAACAATTATTTGTGTAGGCGACGGACGGCCCAAGATACAGCTAGTGCTTCCTTTTGCGTCTGCGAGTATCCTTGCTCTGCTGCATTCAGTAGACGAGAAATGCAGATAATTGGACATCCATCTTGTTTGAGTACAGCACCAATGCCCACGTCTGATGCGTCGGTGATCAGAGTTGGACGTTTCGTCGGAGAGAACGAGGCGAGTACCGGTCGGTTTGTTATCATTTGTATGGTTTCACGCAGAATTCGTTTACACTCGGCCGTCCATTTCCAGTCTGCACTTGACTGGGCGGCAAACAGCGGTTGAACTTTTGTGGCGAAGTTCGGGATGAAACGCGAATAGTATTGGAGGCATCCCATGATGGATTTGAGTTGGTTTTGGTCCCTTGGTGACTCCAATTCAGTCAGTGGACGAAAGCGACTTGAATCAGGGCGGTGGCCTTTTTCATCAACTGTGAAGCCCAGGAACTCCGATTCTGGGGAACTGAACATGCACTTGGAAGCACGAATTGACACGTTCTTCTGGGCGAACCGCTCCAGTAGTTTGAGAAGTCTATCGTCATGCTCGGCCTTCGTTGTTCCAATTACAATGACATCGTCCTGGTACACTAACACGCTATCGAGTCCACGGATGTCTTCGTCTATGGCCGCCTGGAATATGCCGGAGGATGTGCGGAGACCAAACGGTAGGAAGCTGTATTGATACAGTCTCCATGGTGTGTTGATAGTAGTGTAATGCCTGCAGGTTTGTGCGAGTGGAATCTAGAGGTATGCATCGGCCAAGTCAATCTTCGAGAAGCATGTGCAATGCTTTCATGAAATCCTCCGGTTCCATGGTGGTAGCCGCACACTTTCGTAACCGAGGGTTGAGTGTTATGCGGTAGTCGCCACAAATTCGCGGTGTTTTGCCGTCACTTTTCATTGCGATCACGATTGGCGTTGCCCACGTACTGGATGTGACTCGTGCAATTATGCCATCGCGCTCCATTTTCTCAAGGGCCTGCAGTACACCATCACATTGGCCGTAGGGAATTACACGTCGTTTCAGGAAAATGAGTTCACCATCAACTTCCAGTTTGGCCGGCTGTACGTTCATACCTCCCGTATTATTGGAACATTTCACGACCAGGTGCTGTAGATGGGTGTGCATATTGGACATAGAGTTTGTATGGAGCGACACAATGGTTCAATTCACGAATGGCGGTTAGGCCAAGTATGGATGGACTGATTTTAGCAATTAGGAAGCGGATGGGAACAAGGCGATGTTCTTTGGAATGTACCATCAATGAAACCTCACCAAGCAATGACAAGTTGTGTCCAGTCACCCCAAGGATTCGCACGGATGTTGGATGGATTTTGGCTTGGGGGCAGGTTGACCGAAGCACAGCAATAGAAATGATAGATTCCATGCTTCCCGTATCAACAATGAATTTGTGCTTTCTGGCGGACTGAAATGTCACATCTGTGTATAGGAATTGTGTGCGTTGGCTTTCGGTTCGTAGAGAGAGCACCAGATTTGTGTCATTCGCAGCAGTCGGTTGTGCAAGGTTGCAACGGGGCTGTTTGCACACTCTCCGAATGTGGCGAGTTTCTCTGCATGCATGGCACTTGGCATTTCGGAAGCGGCAATTGGAGCGCAGATGGTAAGCTCTACATGACAAGCAGGGATTGATACGTTTCTCGTTGCTTGAAGAGTCGTGTTGCGGCTTCGGTACACTTGTGAGCAATGGAGGTCGGTTCGGTCGTGTCTTCTGCCGTTGGAATAATGTGGCTGATTCGCTGAAAGTGGCTTTCATCAGGTCGTCGTGTTGCTCACAGATCTTGGGGGCATCAGCAAAAGGTAAATCTTTCTTCTCCAGCAACTTTCGTTGAAGAGTCAGATTATTGATGCCTACCACCAAGCGGTCACACATTTGTTCTTCCAGGCGATCACCATAGTTGCAACGTGATGCTTATTTGTTCAGCTGCAGGATGAATTCACGGCAGAAAACATGATCGGCACGAATCATGGAGTGGAATTGGGCCCTTTCATGTGCTTGGTATTCAGTGGGCAGCAGGTGGTTGAGCAGCAGCGATTTCAGGGACTAGTATGGTAGCTAGGGCTTCAGAGAACGCCAGATTTCTCAACGGGGAGTACAGGTCACGGCCGCCAGCAGTAAGAAATAGGACAGACTGATTCTGTGTACCACCTTTGCGAATGCTGCACCACAGCTCGAAACGTTCGACCCATTCCACAATCTCGGATGGACTTGCTTGCAGATTCAGTTGCTTGATCGTTGGGAGCTCCATCACGTGACGCCAATTTGTAAAGATTTTAGTAGTAGTAGTAGTAGTA